GAAGATAGGTCGTGCCCAGGAGCCTTGGAGAGAATGAATGAGTGCAACTTGCCGTCTTTTATGACATTGCGGACAGAACTAGTGCTCAGTCTGGCGTGTCGGGGCCGATGCTTCGCCCCTGGCTGCGCTGCTGTTGACGCTCTGCACATTATACCGCGAGGGACGATTGTTGAGGGGCGGGCCATTGTCGTGTCAGTGAAGTGCAGCGCGTGTCTGGGGGAGTTCTGCTTGAACCGAGGCTCTAAAGACCGCCTGGATGCGCACCCTGCTCGCTCGCCCGCTTTGTTGAACGTGTTAGCTTCAATCGCGATTGTGGTGCGTGGAGGCTCTCTACAAAAGATAGACACTTTCGCAGCGCTGACGGGAATGGGGCCGGGCATCGACGACACAGTTTCGTACCGGTACCTTGAGGATGCTGGGCTTCGGGACAAGATTGTATGCGCTGCCAAAGCGGAATGCATGCATGCCCTCGACATTTTGCTTGAGTCTGAGAATGGGCGATCCGGAGATGCGCCTGACCTCTCTTTTGACGGCGCCTGGAGTCACGGGCGGAACGCGTCGGTTGGGTATGGGGACTTGCTTGCGCACCTCACAGAGAAGCCCGACGGCTACGTTTCCGGCTTCCCAGTCGTCGGGTTTCACGTTGTGCAAAACAGCAGGCATACAGGCCTCCGGACAGTGGCAGTCGCTGACAGCGAGGATGCTGAGGAGGAGTCGAGCGCGGCAGATGTAGTCTACGTGTCATTTGAAGGAGAGCATGGAGTGGCAGGCGCGTCGCAGACTATGGAGGACTCGTACTTCGAGGCTATCATGCCAGACGTGAATAAGAGGCTGGTGAGTGCTAGGAAGCAGGTTACGCTCGTCTGTGACGGTGATTTGAGATTGGGAGCAAAGGCTCGCGAGCTAGACTCTGTTCGTGATATAGGACTGGACCTGCGTTATTTTTCGTCAACTGTCAAAAAACGTTTACTCAAGGCATATGGCGAGAATCGGAAGACGCTGAGCGAGGAGCACGTCGCGCTGATAGTCAACTTACAAAAGCACCTGCTCTGGTGCTACTACATTGGAAAGCAAAACAAATTGTCGGCCTCGCAATTCGATGACGCAGTTGTTGGCTGTGTGGACCACTGGAGGGGCGACCACAGTCAATGTCAACCATCCTCCATCTGTGTCAAAAGTGGCTTGGGCTCGTCGTATCAGGTGCCCGCAAATCGGTCCCTGGCTTCTTTGAGCGAGAACAGCGCGGCGCTCCTGAAGCAGCGCATCCGGGCCGCATTGCGACGAGAGGAGTAGCAACAGGTGCTGGTTGACGCAAACACTTCCATCAACGAGTCGTTCCATCATTCGATGGTCATCCACGGATCCTCCAATGGAAAGAGCGGCAACGACGGGATAAACGCAACTCTTCGAAGGAGCATACAGGTGCTTGTGTGGAACAGGAGCGTGCTCTGGACGGCAGAAGTCCTTCTGGACATGGTCTTCGGCAGCCGACAGGTGCTGTCTGAAGCCGACAAGTCATACCTGGCGCGGATCGACAAGCAGGTGGAGACCGACAGAAATACACAGATGAAGTTGGCGTGCGATGAGCTTGAGGCCCGTCAGAAGCACTCCGACGAGCGTGTGGAAAGAATGAAGCCGTACAACATGGCGTTTGCAACCCAGCTGATCCCGTACGGAGCCTATGCTGCAAAAATGCGTGCACTCCCGAAAGACAACGCTCTCACCAGACAGTACGCAAAAGTAGTCTTACCCGCATAGAGGCGACATGTGTACTGCAACTCTGAGAAATGCAGCCGCCGCAAAGTACAGGAGAGACGAGAGGAGCGCGGGGGGCTTTGCATGACTTGCTCCGCGCGGCGGCACTTGGTAGTGGAGCAACGGCAGTATCCGTGGACGTTCAGTGGATGTTTGAGCTACGACAGAGTTGAGAGCGATTCTAGCGATGTCGCTTCCGTTTTTTTGTGAGCGAGGTCTTTGCCTGTGTATGCGCCTTGTCAGGGTCTCGTCGGCCGCCTAACTTCTCTACCAACAACAACCGAGCCCGGAAAGCCGCTGGAGCCCGGCACGGCAACGAGGCGCAGAATGCTGCGAAATCGAGTGGCGGACTTGACCGCAATAATGGATAAGCAGTTCGAATCGGCAACAACATAAAGGCACATAAACTCAAACTGAGCTCTTGCTAGCACCGAAGCCGGCTTGGTGGCGGGATCTAGAAGAATTGAACTCAGCGATGCGTGTAGGTCTTCCCCCAGAGCCTCTGCGTCAAGCCCCTCCTCCTCGCTAGCAGACCTTATGAGCTTTACCACAGCCTGCGGGGCGCCTTCGAAGGACCCGTTGCAGAAAAACGCATTCACAAGCTCGTATCCCTCTTGCACACCTATCCCCCGCGATTTGAAGCAGCCCACCGCAGCCACAACTGCGAACGCAAAAACGGTCGCGTCCCTAGACTTAGACCTGCCACACCCCACGGCGCCGGTGCACGCGACGCAGTCTCCACAGTCACTTTCAGCATTCCAATCTTCATACTGCACAAAAGCCAGACCAAGCAGACGCCGCATGCATGTACCCAGCTGTGCACGTCGAGCCATGAGAACTATTGCGGCCAGGCCCCTATAGAACCTCCTTCGGTCCTCCGTGTCCTGCCTGACAAACTCGATTTCAGCCCATGCTGCTCTCCCAATGAAGGCATCATCGGGCTCTGCCCGCCCACCGATGTCTACCGCCGCGGCGCCAGAAGCGGGCTGCCCGGAGCTAGGCAGATTGGACAGCGTGGCCCAGCCCGACATGTCCGCCAGAGGTGAGAACATAAGCACGCATCGAGCTGTTTGTCCTGCTCTGCGAGCCGCACGTTCGACGTGCTGTGCATAAGACGTTGCCGAATCGGGCAACCCGTAGTGAACGACTAAGCTAATACTTGGATGATCGATTCCCATCGCGATTGACGTGGTGCCAATGAGGCATCGAACCTCTCCGCTGAGCCACTTTCGCAGCCTTCGGCGCCTTGTCTCCATAGGAAGGGCGCTGTAGTAGACATTGCAGAGGCAGTTACCAGCACGCGCAGCGACACTTCCCAACTTCCGAAGACTTTTGCACACGTTGTCGCACTGCGACGGCAGCCAGCAAAAAAAACCGCGCACTGAGCCTCCGGTGTAGCCTGCAATAGCTCGGCGATACGCTTTGCAGCTCCTCTCACTCGGACCTTTGACTCAACCTCCAAGCGCAGACATGGTCGGGACACGCTGCTCATCAGAACAGTCCACGACTCTCTCGGAACGTCTAGTTCTTCGGACGCGCGCGAGAGAAAGTCACCAGGCAGGGTTGCCGACATGAACGTCACAGACATCATTTTCTTCTCGATGAATGGCCCAAGCCAACCCGTGAGCCTCATGTGACCCGACCGCTACTCCCCGTCCGCAACCCAGCAATGTGCTTCATCGATAAAAACCCGCGTAAAGTGAACCTTCTCAAGAAGCAACTGCATTTGCCCCGAGCAGGCCTTCTCGGGAGTCGTCAACACAACACCGCCCTGGCAGTGCACGACCGCTTCACCGCAGAGAGCCTGATCGTCGTACTGCGACTGCCCAGTTATTCGGAAGGCAAGTATCTGCCGAGAAACGCATTTGGCGTACAAATCATCGACAAAAGACAGAGTCGGAGCCACAAACAACGTGAGGCCCCCTCTCGCCAAGGCCGGGACAATGTCCAGCACCGACTTTCCGTGTCCCGTTGGAAGCTGCGCCAGAATGTTATGGCCTCGCTCGGCGCTTACAACATACCGCTTTTGCGAGTCATCGCGCCAGTGTTGTAGCTCAAGGAACAGAATGCCCCCGAAGGACAACAGTTGCTCCGTAAGGACTGCGTCTGGAACGTCCTCTGCCGGCTCGAGTGGCGCCATAGCGATGAACTCCGGGTCGTTCGGCTCATCGGCGCGCGTGTCGGCCATGTCACGCTTGCTTCTCAGAAGGCTGCAGAGCCAAACCCGCTGCTGTTTGCCTCAACGTGACTCTGGACTTGGCCGTGTAAAACACTGTGCCCACTGTCTCAAGGGGATGTGGCGCATCTGGAAAATCCATAAGACTGTGCTTCGCTCGACCACGTGATTGGTCAAAACTGTAACGGATCACCGAAATAAATGGCCACAATCGTCTGATGAGCGTCTGGATCGGACCAATCAGAAGCTCTGAAAGATCGTCGGGCACATCCTTAAGCTTTTTGCGTATTCAAAGCTGCTATCAGGGTGTTCTGCAATATGCTGTTACCGAAAACATGCACGTTAAGGAAATAGTGCTCAAGGTAGCTTTTTGAATGTTCAATTCAATTTATATATATTTTGCGAAAAAGGAGCTGTCCTCATATGAGCACATCGCCGGCCTCATATGAGAACAAGCCCCTGTCGGATAGATCTATCACTAGAGGTCGTCAGTCATGATCTGCCACTAGCATGCAGTCCTTCGGGTGAGGGAGGTCTCCTACGACTTTGTGGAGTCTCCCACGCCGTTGCGATGTGTTCGGAGCCTGTGAGTCGCTTGTACGTTGCTAATACAGAAATGTCAGAGCGGGGGCGGCCCCCGCGTGGACGTCGCCGGGGATTGGCTTGTCGCCAGGAAGGCGTGGGGCTGCTGCGATGAAGAATGGTCACGCGAGGTCGCAGGCAGGGCGCTGGTTTGAATTGTGTCGGCGGAAACGTTGCGCAAAGGGGTCCACCGCTGGCAAGCCGTTGGGTCATTGATGCACCAAAGCTGCCTTTGTTTATGAGGTGTTCACCGTTGCGGTGCATCTGAGAAAAGAGCGAGATAAAATGAGGTCAATTTTAAGCCAAAAAGTAGGATTTAATTCTAATTTTGTACTTTTGAATAATGGTTGTTGACTTCTTGCCACTTATCTACGCATGCAATGCTTCCGAAGTGGCATGCCCCTGGACAAAAAGCTCAGCTTCGCTACACTGACACACCCGGGGTTCCAAGTCATCTAGACCAGGCGATTGCGCTTGAGGCCGCAACATGGCCTTTCCTTCACACAACTCGGACAGCGCTTTTCCGCAGCCACAGTCTCCCAATACCCTCAACTCTCCCACTTCTCCAGCCTCGGCCACATTCGCCGACGAAAGCGATCTCTTCGTGCAAGACGAACCGCATGTTGGTGAGCTTCATCTCGTCCCCTGCGCACTTGACGTGTACTTGGATTTGCCGAACAAAGCAGAAGATCGTTACGAACTTGTTGAAGGAATTTTGTTTCATCGACCCAACATGGCCAATACTCAACACGCGATCATAAAGGAATTCCTCGTGACTAAGTTCAGGGCCGTCAAGCTGACCGGTAACAATCGTGTGAATATCTACCCTGAGATGAAAGTTAAGGTCTCTTCCGGGAAGAGTCGGTCGCCGAGCGTCCGAGTTCCGGATGTTGTTGTGGGTCCGTACACTTCCTCTGAAAGCACCGGTAACGCATCTCCCCGGTCACAGAAAATCATATTTCACGAAGACAACATACCACTCATGGTAATAGAAATCACAAGCCCGAGCAACAGACTGACCGACATGAACGCCAAGTCTGAGGAGTACTGCCGCACTGGGATTGCGACATATGTTATCATAGACCGTGAGACGGATCGCGTGATAGTAAGAAAGCTAATCCGAAACACGCGTTCTCGTCTTGACTACGACTCAGAGGTTGTATACACAGGGGATACGCTTGTGGACTGCTTTTTGTTCCGTGAACGTAACCTAACTGCAGAAAAGATATTTAGACCGCAGCAGACCGCAGAAGAGGCCGCCCAGTCACCGACCCGGAGAGAACAGCGTGCAAAGGAAAGAGAACGGCGTGAAAAGGAAGCAGCGCAAGCAACTGCTGTATCAGAACGGCGTGCAAAGGAAGAAGCGCAAGCAACTGCTGTATCAGAACGGCGTGCAAAGGAAGCAGCCCAAGCAAAGGCAGAAGCAGCCCAAGCAACTGCTGTATCAGAACGGCGTGCAAAGGAAAAAGAACGGCGTGCAAAGGAAAAAGAACGGCGTGCAAAGGAAGCAGCCCAAGCAAAGGCAGAAGCAGCCCAAGCAAAGGCAGAAGCAGCCCAGGCGAGAGTAGATGAGCTCGAAAGGCAGTTCGGGAAAGGCAAAGGCGGCTCTTCCGCGAGAGGTGGAAAGCATACGAATTCCGGGGGGAAGCCCAGATGAAAGTCAAAGGCGGCTCTACCGCGAAAGGTGGAAGGCATACAAATTCCGTGAAGAACGTCGATAAAGGATAGTAGGATAGTCTAGGGTGCCCCAGAAATGTCACAACTCGAGCAAACACTTCATGTACCACTCTACGACGCCACATCTCGCGTCTCGCCAACCGAATCCAACTCTTTCATGTTCTCATCCCTCATCCAGCCGTCTTCTATCCATCCCGCGGTTCTCGAAAGGTACGGGGCCCGCGTCCCCACTTCTGCCGATCTTGGTCTCTGACGTACAGAACCGAGATATCATCGGCGGAGTGAACGGAGGATTCCCGGCTTACTACTACAGTACGCCTCCGCGCCTCCGCCTAAAAGCACAACAGATATCAGGTCGCCTTTCTTTTCCTTGGAACTGCTGCACGAATGCGAAAGGGTTTGAATGTAATAAAGTTTTTGGAATGAAAGTATCAATACATGAATATAAATAAATGGAATAGAGTGGATAAAGGCATGGAGTGTTTGAGGAAACTTTACTTGTACCGCTTTTCCGCCCGCGCTTCTTCTCCATCCCCACCGTCGACACAATCATAAACGTCACCTCGCCGCGCCCGTCGCGCTCGTCGAACCTCACGCTGCTTGTGTTCATCACCCGCCCTTGCCGCTCCTTCTTCGCCAGCACCTCCTGCACGGCCGCGCCCATCCCGCCCGCGCCACCTCCTTCTCCGCCGTCTTCGTCCGCTGCCGCTCCTGCTCGCGCTTCAACTTCTTCTGCGCGCCGTCCTCCACCCGCTCTAGCCTGCACGTCGCCGGGGATTGGATTCGGACTAACTGTTGTTCCTGTGCAGATTGCGACACGTCAGGTGTTGCAAGTGACAAATCAGTGCTCATATAGCTCAGTCTGGTTGCTGCGATGAGGAATGGTCACGCGAGGTCATGTGACCTGTGAACAGGCAGGTCGCTGGTTTGAATTGTGTCGGCGGAAACGCTGCGCAGAGTGCACCGCTGGCATGCCGCTCGCTCATTGATGCATTGCAAACTGTCTTTGTTTCTGAGGTGGATCTGAGAGGTGGATCTGAGAAAAGAGTGAGACAAAATGAGGTCAATTTTAAGCCAAAAAGTAGGATTTAATTCTAATTCTGTACTTTTGTATGATGGTTGTTGACTTCTTGCCATTGCTCTGGGTGTGGTAAAAGGAAGTGCCCCCTGGCCAGGAGACAGGTGGAGAGGGATGTGCACAGTATATGTAGTAGCGATATCCAACACTGCCGCATTCGATGCTTCCGAAGTGGCCTGCCCCTGGACAAAAAGCTCAGCTCCGCTACGTACACTAACACACCCGGGGGTCCAAGACATCTAGACCAGGCGATTGCGCTTGAGGCCGCAACATGGCCTTTCCTTCACACAACTCGGACAGCGCTTTTCCGCAGCCCCAGTCTCCCAATACTTTCAACTCTCCCACTTCTCCAGCCTCGTCCACATTCGCCGACGAAAGCGATCTCCTCGTGCAAGACGAGCATGTTGGTGAGCTTCATCTCGTCCCCTGCGAACTTGATGTGTACTTGGATTTGCCGAACAAAGCAGAAGATCGTTACGAACTTGTTGAAGGAATTTTGTTTCATCGCCCCAACATGACCGATGCTCAACACACGATCATGAAGGGATTCATCATGGCTAAGTTCCTTACCGCCGAGCTGACCGGTAACAATCGTGTGAATATCTACACTGCGCCCAAAGTTAAGGTCTGTTCCGGGAAGAGTCAGTCGCCGAGCGTCCGAATTCCGGATGTTGTTGTGGGTCCGTACGCTTCCGCTCAAAGCGCCGGTAACGCATCTCCCCGGTCACAGAAAATCATATTTCACGAAGACAACATACCACGCATGGTAATAGAAATCACAACCCCGAACAACAGACTGACTGACATGGACGCCAAGTCTAAGGAGTACTGCCGCACTGGGATTGAGACATATGTTATGTTAGATCGTGAGACGGATCGCGTGATAGTAAGAAAGCTAATCCGAAACACGCGTTCTCGTCTTGACTACGACTCAGAGGTTGTATACACAGGGGATACGCTTGTGGACTGCTTTTTGTTCCGTGAACGCAACCTAACTGCAGAAAAGATATTTAGACCGCAGCAGACGGCACCAGAGGCCGCCCAGTCACCGATCCGGAGAGAACGGCGTGCAAGGGAAGCAGCGCAAGCAATTGCTGCATCAGAACGGCTTGCAGCGGAAGCAGCGGAAGCAGCGGAAGCAGCGGAAGCAGCGGAAGTGGCTACTGCATCAGAACGGCGTGCAGCGGAAGCAGCGGAAGCAGCGGAAGTGGCTGCTGCATCAGAACGGCGTGCAGCGGAAGCCGCGGAAGCGGCTGCTGCATCAGAACAGCGTGCAGAGGAAGCAGAACGGCGTGCAATCGCAGCGGAAGCAGCGGAAGCGGCTGCTGCATCAGAACGGCGTGCAGAGGAAGCAGAACAGCGTGCAATGGAAGAAGCGCAAGCAACTGCTGCATCAGAACGGCGTGCAAAGGAAGTAGAACGGCGTGCAAAGGAAGCAGCCCAAGCAAAGGCAGAAGCAGCCCAAGCAAAGGCAGAAGCAGCCCAAGCAAAGGCAGAAGCAGCCCAAGCAGAGGCAGAAGCAGCCCAAGCGAGGGCAGAAGCAGCACAAGCAAAGGCAAAAGCAGCACAAGCGAGAGTAGATGAGCTCGAAAGGCAGTTGGAGGAATTCAAAGGCGGCTCTACCGCGAAAGGTGGAACGCATACGAATTCCGTGGGGAAGCACAGATGAAAGTCAAAGGCGGCTCTACCGCGAAAGGTGAAAGGCATACAAATTCCGTGAAGAACGTCGATAAAGGATAGTAGGATAGTCTAGGGTGCCCCAGAAATGTCACAACTCGAGCAAACACTTCATGTACCACTCTACGACGCCACATCTCGCGTCTCGCCAACCGAATCCAACTCTTTCATGTTCTCATCCCTCATCCAGCCGTCTTCTATCCATCCCGCGTTTCTCGAAAGGTACGGGGCCCGCGTCCCCACTTCTGCCGATCTTGGTCTCTGACGCGCAGAACCGAGATATCATCAATGGAGTGAACGGAGGATTCCCGGCTTACTACTACAGTACGCCTCCGCGCCTCCGCCTAAAAGCACAACAGATATCAGGTCGCCTTTCTCTTCTTTGGAACTGCTGCACGCACCAAAGGCGTAACAGGTGGTGGGATGGTTGAAAACTTTGTTTTTGCAGTTGTCTTCTACTGCATGGTGGGGCTCGAGGCGTCACGTTTTGGATATTTGTTCTTGGCTGGGCAATATTTTTACTACTCAGTTATGGTTGGGGTCATGTTGACGGGTATCATTGGTGGGATAGCCGCATGTACGCAAGCGATGCGAAGCGGGATAGAAAAGGAAGGAATTAGTAGAGACAAGTGGGCTCCGTGGCGCGCGTTGCGCGCCGCAAGTGGGGAGGAATGCGAAAGGGTCTGAATGTAATAAAGTGGAGTGGTAAAGGCACGGGGTGGTTGAAAAAAACGTAAAGTAGCTTTATTTAAACTCTATCGATAAAGTCCCTCTACGAAAGGACTTCAGGGAACACTACGTTGCAGGTAGTTTCATCTGCTTCCGATGTCAAAACAATGACGTTGCCAGGACGTGTGGTCCTGGACAGGGCGACATATAGTTGACCGTGAGAGAAGCAGTGGTTTCTAAGATCGAGTCCCAGGAGTCCTCCAAAAGACTGTCCTTGCGCCTTGTTTGTAGTCATGGCAAAGCAAGTGCGAATGGGAAATTGGGTCCTTGTAAATCCTGGGACAGGAAAGTTGTCGTCTCCGGGTCCGCAGGGCATGCGAGGCAGGCAGAGTGGATTTCCCTGATGACTTCCAGTAGCTACGTAGAGACAAAGCAAGCTGTTGGACATTCTATCTACTATGTATCTAGCGCCGTTGACATGTTCATCGTTTGGGTCGAGGTTACGAAGAAGCATGACAACAAAACCCTTCTTTAACCTTAGTTGATGGTCGGGTAGAGAAGACCCTGCAGTCAGTGTATTCAATAGTTCTACTGGATACCTGAGGGCGTTTCGATCCTCGTTTTCTACCTTGTCTGCGCTCAAGAACGTGCGATACGCACCCGGAATCATGTCTTCAACAATCTCACTGCTTTCCGGCAGAGCACTGTTCTTAGTTGCTAGAAGGAATCTAGAAGTAATCTAATCCATGTTAGAATGGCGTGTCGCAATTCCGTCAAAGATGGAACGACAGAGGTCTGTGATGGATTTCACAGTACGCATAGAGGTCGGAAGACGTATCATGTCGGGCTGGTTTGGACCTCGCAGTCGTCCTTCACCAACTTGAAGCAGAAATGGTGCGAACTGGAGAGCTTCGTGGCCTGCGGACGTAATTTGGCGAAGAGCTGAAAGTCTCATGTTCTCAGTGAGAGAGAGAGACTTGAATCCTTGGAAGAGAGCCGAGGATCTGACACATGCATTGAATATCTGTGCTCTTGACCCGCCCGGCACAACTGGAAGAATCTGGCGAAAGTCTCCAGAAAACAGGACGTGTTTACCACCGAAAGGAAAGTCTGTGCCAGTCAGGTCGCGTAGGGTGCAATCTACGGCTTCTATACAATACTTATGGCACATTCCGATCTCATCCCATATGATCAAGTCGACGTCTTTCATATCATGACGTAACGTGGAATTGGGCGAGATGTTAAACGTACTATCTGACAAAATAGGTATAGGAATCTTAAAGACTGAATGCCGCCATCCAATAAGACTGCAGCTACTGCCGACGTCGCAACAGGTAAAACAGTTTTGGCACGAATGGTGAGCACGTTCTGTATAGCATTGGTAAAAAAAGTCTTTCCGGTGCCTCCTGGAGCATCCAGCAAGAAATCGCTTGAGTTGGGTGAAGCAGAACTAACTGCGATTGGGGCAAGTGCTGGGGAAGTTAGCCCTTGCAAGCTTTGGACGGACACGCCTGGAAGAATGGAACCAATGTGGAAGAGCTTGCTGAAGTCGTTGCTCCAGAACTTCCGTGTTCACATGACCCGAGTTCGTAGACAGCCCTTCGTGCAACAGGGGAAGGTCTTACATAGGCTCAGGTAGGTTGAAATCCGTGAGAGTGTAACGACTCATGGACTGCAGCGCGTCTATCACCTCTAGCAAGACGTACGACAAAGCGTGTTCATCATTGGAGAGCTGTTGTCCGCGCGAACTGTTCCCAGGCCCACGTGCGCGTGCACGTATATCTGTCAAGAATAACGACACATTGTTCCAGAGTGTATGTGGATCAGACGGCTCGCAGTATGCCAGGATAGTAGCAAAAACGCGAGATAGAGGCACAAGCGAAGAACGGAAGGACTCTCGTAAGGCGTGCCTCCACTCCGCGTCGTATGCAAGCAGTCCCATCTTACAGCAGGCCTCTCGGAAACTGGAACACTGTACACAATCGATGGTGCACAGATTCTGGAAAGAAATAGCCCCTGGTACTTGCGTGAGAAGCAAGCGGAGAAAGTACCTCTCGCCCTCTCGTGGACTGACTGTGTAGATGCGACCAATGACATTCGACCCAGGTCCACTACAGTTAAAGAGGTCGTTCTCGTCTTGAGGGTTCCTCCTCCTCATGTTTGCGCGTGGCTTCCAAGTCCTTGTGGATCTGTTCCAAGTGAAGTATCTAGTGTAGTATAATCTCTAACTGGATTTAGATTAAATCAGCTACTGTAAAGCCCGAACTCTACAGGCGACAGCACGCGCACACACGCGTAACACACGTGTACTGTCAGCCCCGATGGCTGGCAGCGTTACAGTACGGCACGGCCCGCACTGACTACAGTAGCACTATAGTACCGTACGTACTGTACTGTAGTATGATAGGACTTACTTGTATATTAAATACTAGGGCAGACCCACGGCAGAGAGAAAGGACAAGCACGAGCTTGTCCAGAACCCACGCATCTGGTCAAGCTCGCCCCGCTTATTCTAGAACGGGTTCCCACTAGCCCGTATCTAGTTAGGAGCCAAGCGGGCCCCGGGGGACGCGCAAGCACGCGAGCGAGCTTAGATCCGCCTCCGCCCGTCAGCTCTGGTACGTCACCCAGCGCTGCGCCGGGGCGTCGAGGCGTAGATCGGCCCGCGCGTGCGCGCGTCCCCGACCGTACCCGCTCTACCACTACTACCCGGGCTCGCCCGGTTCCGTTAGCTGGGGTTGCTTCCCTTCTCCGATCAGGGTCTAGCAGGACTGTGCATACACCCCCTCGACGTTGGGGTGTTTATTTTACAGTGGTCTCCCGACCTAGAAGACCCCGAAGATCATTCCGAGAAGGTTGTCGTTTTCCTCCGCGTCCGTACGCGTCGAGATGAGCGAAGGGTCCGAACCCTCGATCCACTCCGCACCGACCGATGTGCAGGCGTCGGCACTACGCGTCCTACCCGACGACGGCGCGGCAGGTCCTCGAGATCGCAAACCGTCGCTGGACTACTCAGAAGGACGCGCTCGCGCAATGTACGAACGCATCGCGGAGTATGTCGAGGATGTCCGAACATCCCTTCGTATCGACGTGACCGATCACGTCTACGCCCGCTGTGCTAGTACAGCGGGCGTAGACGTGGTCGTGGAAGGAGCGTGACTCGTCAGCTGACGAGTCGCGCTCCCTCCACGAAGGAAGGTTTGAGCGCGTGACTCAGTCCTTGGAGATCTTGCGCCGCTCGTCGACCAGTTGCACTCCGTCTAGTGTTTGTCGAGGACGCGCGCATCGATGCCCCTACGCCGGACGTTGCAGGTCGACCCGCGAGTACGAACTCCGGGGTACGACGGGACACGCAGCCTTTCCATCTGCCGAACAGATGGGAGCGTTCGCGCATACGGCTGCGGAACTTAACTCGACGCGCCGGTGCGCTCGTGAGTTAGAACAGAACTCGGCCGTAAGGGTGCCTGGAGCTCCCTGGAGAGGGCCCGGTGCCACTGTTCCTCCGGGCGCGTCCGATGCGCAGGAGTGGCCTCCGACTGGTGCCGTCACCAGTCGGAGCGCGGAGGACATCAAACCAACGGCGGACGCAAACTTCGCGTCCGAGACTCGAGCTCTGCCGCATGCCCCGGAAACATGCGTCAGTTGCGACAGGTACTGTACTGTCACGACCAAGACCGTGGTGGAGCCGCTGGCGGATCCGGAGAACCCATGTTCTCCGTCGATCCTCGCTGGGGCGGCTGCCCGCCGGTGGACTACACCGCGCACCCCGGTCCGGTAGACGTACCTACACTACCCGTTACCCCGTCAGGCGCGTTCGTAGGATGGAACTGGCATCGGCCGAAAAGTCGCCCGGAGCCCCCCCAAAAGGGCCCGGTGCCACTGTACTTCCGAATGCGCACGACGCGCAAGAAGGGAGCCCGACTGGTTCCGACACCAGTCGGGTCACTCGGCAGCGAAGCCCCAAGACGGACGAAAATTTCGCGTCCGAGACCCAAGCGCTGCCGCATGTCGCCGGAGACATGCGGAAGATGACAGGCGTACCGTACGTGGACGAAAAAAGACGCGGAGATACCGCCCGCGGATCAAAAGAACCGATTCTCTCTTTCGATCCCCGCTGCGGCGTCTATCAGCCGGTGAAGCTCACCGCGCACACCGGTCCGGTAGACGTCCGTACGCTACACGAATTTGTAAGCGGACTAGCCCCTGCAACCCGGGCCGCAGTGGCTGACACGGTCCAACGATTGCCCGGGCAACAGAAGACATAACTTCCAACGATCCGCCGTATCGCGACGACGGGAGGCACAACGTGCCACGCTCGGCGCGGTTTGCCGCTGCCGGATCCGAAACCGGCAGCGAGGGGGAATCGAACCCCGAGATCCCATGCGACAAGTTCGCCTGCGGCATCCCTCCACATAGGAGAAGATGAGTGGCAGGCCGACCCTGTCCTCA